AAGTGCAGGGTATAGGCCGACGACCATCTAACTAACTGGTATCCGTCTACAAGTGGCGTGCCTCAAGGCACTGTGCTGGGGCCCACTCTGTTCCTGATCCACATCAATGATCTACCGCAGCTTCTCCGGTCGCCGTGTGCCTTGTTTGCGGACGACATGAAGATTTGGAGAGAAATCGTCGCTCCCGATAACTGTGGCCTACTTCAGCAAGCTCTCAACCGCTTATCCACATGGTCTGCAGAAGTCCTTCTCCCGGTCAACCCAGCCAAGTCCGTATTTCTGAGCCTGGGGAAGGGTGTTAACGGCCGAACCTACACTCTTGACGGCCAAACGTTATATCCCACACCCTCCGTGAAGGACCTAGGTGTACTTTCACGCTACGATTTGAAGTCCGTGGACAACACGAACAGGTTATATCGGAACGGACTGCGCATGCTTTGGGCGCTCAAACGTAGTTTCCGCACATGGTATGAAGAGGTTGCCACTCGCCTGTTCTCTTCTATTATTAGACCAATGCCAGAGTACGGTTCGCCCGCCTACTTTCCGATTACCCGAGGCGAGGCACAAAAGATCGAACGGGTCCAACACGTTGCTACCAGGCTCACCCCGTGTTTACGTGGCATGGGGTATGAAGACCGGGGTGAGAAACTAGGACTCTATACCATGTCCTACCGCCGGGTGCGAGTCGATCTCATTATGACCTACCGTATTCTACATCTCGGTGACTTCCAATGCTAATGCCAATGCTGCATTTACGAGGGTCATGCAGCACACGCGGACACAGATACAAACTTGTCGTGCCGGATGTGAGACGTGTTCCCCACTCACTGTGCATCGAACGGAGAGTGGTAAATATTTGGAACAGTTTACCTGAACACGTGATGGAGACAACATCTGCGCAGCAGTTAAAAATGTTGTTAGATTTATATTTCACCACTATTCGATTCAGAGAACGATTGCACACTTAAGACGACATGTCACATTTGTGAGTCCTGCAATATAGTGAGTCAGATAATTTAAATGTTACATGAGAACGACAACGATATTCACGGCTGACAACTTTTATAACGTTTTTCACCATATTTCGAAAGAGTTGTACAGAATTCATTTCTGCTTGCTCTATAATACAGTATTTAAGAGCCACTAAGCAAGTCGGCTTCGTCATGGAGTTCGGAGTGATGATCGAAAACGCAGTAGTTAAGAGTCACCGGAACTACGGTTAGCCAAGTGTTGCTGGACGTAACTGATCAGTTTCCAAGTCAGCCATTATAGCATCTGTAGTAGGCAAGTTGTCGCAATCTATTGGATGGAAGAACTGAGGATGGCACTTACATACAAGAACCACCTATGGGGAGAATGCCATACCTAGTCAGCAAAGTTTGGAAGTGTAACATTACAATGCGGTGTGATACCACACAAATCAAGCACACGGTCACTGTGTACCAAAAGGACTTAGGAGGAAGCGGAATACGCTTGGAGCCAATCAAGAAGTTGCAGTTTCAGAGAGATATGGAAACAATCGGCTGATGGATTTGTCAGATAGCATCTTGCTTTTGACACGAAAGTTTTGTCAGCCTCGGTGTGCCAGCACATAGTTGTGTTATTTTAGAGCGAACAAGAGGGACAGTCATATTAACAGATGCGAGAGTCCGGAGGCTAGTACAGACCTAGCAAAGGATGCCATCTCAAAAAATGCAGCTAGAATATTTCAGGGAATTAACCGTACACCTTGATGGTTAAGGACTTGGAGACAGTAATGATCTTAAACATGCATCCGGATTCGTGCATCGAAGTTCATCAGAATGGCAGGATTAAGATTGCTTGCCCACAATCGCAAGCACTACCACCTCCATTCTATTCGCATAGGTAGTAGCTTTGGCGATTTTTACTACATCGGCAATCAAGCTCTTGGATAAGGCTCGCAAAACTTCTAATGATCTCGACAGCATCTGAATAGACCTCGCATCCGGTTTTCAGCGCATGCATCGGTACGATCGTCATTTAACGAAGCTATGTATTAAAACCCATTATTTGGCGGACGCAAAATGCGCCCCTTGTTTTCTAAAATTCGATCAATGTATACGTGTATATCATCTTTAGAGTTGACTTCGCACACTCGGTTGGATATCCTAGCTGTGAAGTTAGGCTCCTACAAAAACGTCAGCGTCGAACGTACTGATGGGCCAGGCTGGAAGATCATCCTTATGCCGTACTAGTTCATTACGCTGGCGAATTGTTTCAGAGGGCAATTTTCTATCGTTATTCGCATAGAGTAATCGACGTTTGGTTGAAGCAGCCACAGAATGTAACACCGAGGACTGAATGCGTCAGTGATCATTGCCATGCCACTCGTTCCAAGTCGCTGTGAGGTAAGTGAGGGTTCGAGTAAACTCCTCCAGGGTAGATCAGCTCAGTCAAGTGAAGGAGGAGATCCCCGAAATGCACAATAATGCATGGAATTGCGAGCAGTCTATGACCCAAAAGTCTGAAGGATCAGACAACGTGGGATCAATTCAGTTGTAGGTGAGTATGATCATATGAGAGGCACATTGAAGCCGATCAGCACGCACTGATGTTGGCTTCTTAGATATGTAGGCAAAATCAACCGCAAATGAGGTTTCGTCAAAGTACCGAGAAACCAATCGGTTCAGATAGGATAGCAAAAGACCCGGGAGCACAAAACATACCTATTTAGCGCTAAGGATGGTCAGAGACGGTGGCAAAGCGTGGTAATCAACTTAAGATCATCGAGGTCAGCACGACCAATGATGTAACGGGGAGCCAGCGTTCAAGACGAGCCGTGGCGCAAAATTGGACCGATGAACATTTTGGGATCGAACTCAAGCAGAGTTCAAACGTGAATCTATGTGGGGTCAGCAGGAAGTCAAACCCTGAACTTGGACCGTTTTGAGTTATGTTAACTGATCTTAATTAGCATCTCCAATATGGTTGTGTTTAGTAGCTGCGTTCAACCTATTTATTCCGCTATGCTCTCATGAAAAACGAAACTCCCGGTCCGGCTGGCCTTTGGCGTTCTTATTTCCGCGAGGGGTTGAACCGGTTGGGGGCGGCAGAACAGCTTGCGTGGTAGCAGCATGTAATCTGTAGAAATGAATAGTTTTTGAAGGAGGACGATTGTTAGGTCCAAAGATGCAGGCTGAAACTGATTTCCAATGAGAACCGGTCGGGTGGTGTATAGCTGCGGAGATACAAGAAGAACGATGCCCGATGACAGCGAATGTGTCATCGAGATAAAAGAGTAACAAGGCCATATGACTGCCATTTCAACAGGCAAAACAGAGTGGGAATGATAGACGTGGTTTGGTGACGTACATGATGGCAAAGAAAACGCCGTACAAATGTTGGGGAAAAAGGAAGCAGACAAAGATGTAATGTTATAGCTGTTCGCGAAATAGGTTGGCACGCGACATTCCATAGGACTCATCGTAGCTTCACCCTGAAGCAACTGCTGTGGGAAACTTTGAGGTGAATTTCGCTCAGTTTGATCTCTATGATTGTAACCGAAACAGATAGATGGGAGGGAGATCAACGATAGTGGATCGTGTCGGGCAGACGAGAAATATGGGAATAGCAGGCGGCGTGGTGCTTAAAATAGGCCAAGAAAAAGGGACAAGTCTTTAAGCGCATAAAAGTAGATCGGTGCAATGGAGAAACCGGTGGAGGAGGATATTTATTACTTGAAGCGGCTGTAGACAATATGAAAAGATTGAGAGGAAGTAATTCGAGATGGCGACCAAGAACTGCATAAACAACAGTGGAGGCCGAAAAGATTCAGGAACGACCACCTATCGTTGTCAAAATGATGAACGGACGTGTAAGGAGCTGTGCCCCATCTGTACAGCACAGCACCTAATAGGCAGTAATGGCAAATTATCAAGTGAAATAAGCCTGAGCGACGCGGGGTTTACAAACCGCGTATATGGCTCACAGTACCTACGCTGTGGACCCTGAGAAATGGCAGGTGGTAGAATGGTTGGTGTGCGAAAACAACCATCAGGGAGACACCTGAAGCAAACGGATGGAAGTCCTCCACTCAAATGAAAAAACCAGGTGTACATTGAAGAAGGTACAGACTATCTTCCACATGGAGCAATGGGGCAACGAGGAAGTAAACACAGTTGCAGTCTTAATTCCCACTTTGATTACCGACACCTCCATCTAAATTTCGGTTGAGTTCGAGGTAATAAACACGATTAAAGAGAGAAAAGTGATAAACAAACACACCTTAACCTTGTTAATGATGACGGTGAAATCGGTATGCACCGAGCAAGTGACTGCCACGTTAGTTGGGAGTCAATGAAGAATGCCCAGGATACTGAAACTGAGTTAGTTACCGGGCCCGAATTGGTGAATTAGCATAAAACAGAACAACCATGTATGGGAACCAACACATTATCAAGCAATGCATCCGTTGAGTCTAGTGATGGAGCCCTCATGAGGTCCGTTGAAACAGCAGTGACACTTGATCTGACTAGAACAAATGTTAGTGCTCTTGAGAGCAAACTCTAGCAAAAACACGAACAGTCGCTTTGTTTAAATGTCTAAACTAAGGGAAGAGTAGTGGCAAGGCGTCTACTCGAAGTGAGACAGACTTCACCAAAAAACAATGGTGAATGAACTCATGCTACAAATTTCAGATGTGGTAGCGAACTTAAGTAAATACGCGGCTCATCCACTAGTCTATTTGCAGAAGGACCGACAAAGTGTTACTTTCACAGAGCATGAGAAACACTCTGAGGACGAATGCAGCCAAAGCTCGATGGAGAGGGAGAACTCACAGAGAGCGGCATCCACCTATAATAAGAAAACACTGACGGCTCACCTAGGGAACAGTTGTGTCGAAGAATGAGCAACGCAGTGGGGTTGCAATTGTACTTCTCGAGGTGAATCCGAGCAACCCACTGTCAAGTAAGGTGCAGTAATCAAGGCAAAAAAGCTGATAACAGCAAGCAAAAGGAATACGGAAATTGGAGTGTGATCAACAACCGTGTATGAAAATCAGAGCAAATAACAAAATCTAGCATGTGAGAAACATTTTGTATTCTGAAGGAGGGCATGAAGATGAGGAAAAGTCATGAATCGACACGCCTTTCGTGTGCTCTAACTGCAGCAGAAAATAAGACAGGATAACCGGCACATCAGTGAGCTGAAGCTTAAAGTGCATCAGCGCTGATTGGTAGGATGTAAGTTCAAGCAGCCGATGAGAATAAGGGTTTTACCAATGCGGCCAGAATAGGATAGACAATTACCCACAACACTGAGAATACGCTTCGTGCAACCAATACTACCACAATAACACTGCACCAGTGGCACCGTCAATAATTAGCGCGCGAGTACTGGTAAGATGGAAACGAAGAGCAGAAAAAGGTCTGTCGAAGATGCAATTTGTAATGCAATTGTTGAACAATTTCACCATGATTGTTTTGGAAAACAGAAGTGACTTTGGAAAAGTCAAAAACATGAATAGGGTTGCATTCAGAAGATGTTTTCAAACAACAAGGCCGCAGTCGTATTTAAGGGCGCCGCGGAAACTCCGCATATCATCAATACAGATGGATTCCGATATGACAGGGAGGTATTCAGTTTTGGATAAATCGAGACCATGGCTTTGAAGGAACTCGGAGGCTGTCTTGTCATCAAAACCGCATGAACCGAGCGCACAAGGCACGTCGACATCTTCGGAGCTTCGTTGTTCTTCTGATTTCTGTTCATCAATTATGCGTATCTGTTGTATTTCCAAGGAGTACGATTTTGGTGGTATCACATAGGTGGTATCGGGTTTAGAAGGAGCATCAACCTGAAGCAGTCAAAACAAACGAGATTACAGGATGTACAGATGGCGACAGATGCGAACAGTCGTTCCGGTAGTAAGGAATAGTGAGTCCCTCGGCAGGCACAAAAAACCTCGGCTGAGGAAACACCAGGTTAGGCAAGAACAAGACTACGATTAACGGAGTTGAATAACGAGCAAGCAAGCGGCGATGGAACCCATTGGCCTATTTTGTGTTACTGACCGATTCGCACCGAGCGTGATCAACCTGTGAGAAAACCGCACGAGTAAAACCATGGACAGGCTAGGCCTGGGCACAGAAGCTTAGACAATGTCTTCTCATAGGAGAAGAGCATAATTAGAGCATCAAACAAGAAACCAACTTGAAGAAGACTCAGCACACATGAGGGGCATTAAGAAATCCAATCAGACAAGGTAGCAGCTTGAAGAGCATATTCAACCTGGGGCATATGATAGGCGGCACGAAGAAGGCCCAGTCTAGAGGAGAAGAAGGCCTAGGAAATGTAGCCGGCTGTTCATGCTCTGACTAAACCAGGGATACATATATCCATAAAATGCCAATGTTTTACAATTGGGTCGAGAGCATAGAGAGCGAAATACGCTACCAACCTGTATCACAAGCGATTTACGGTTGGCAGGTTCCAGGTACTCTTTGATGAAAAAGTCGACTAGATCTTCTTTCTTGACCGTCTTCAAAACGCCCACCTAAATTATGAGAAAAAGAGAGGACAGGGGTTTAGCTGAAGATTACAAGTGATGAGTAATGCTTTGTTGTGTTGTTCCGTGGCAATTTGGAAGGCATATGACAAATAATGTATAGGAGAATGATTGCAAAACGGGTTACAGCTGACCCTTAATATGGTGTGGCATAGAGTGAACCACTGTGTTTCCATCAAAGCGACTAAAAGTTCAACAACACGAGGACACACTGTGCCAAAATAACATTCGCGCAGAGTAACAAAAGCGAGGAAATCCACTGTGATATGTATGAACCGCAGCGGCAATAAACAAAAACAAACTAGGTGTTAACTGGCGTGAGTAGTAATATTGTTAACATGTGAAAAACGAACCCCAGTAATGACGACATTTCCAAAATTAGTCAAGACAATGTGAATGGAGATCAGATGGCAAGTGATGTACAGATGAAGCCGTAGAAGATTAAAAGACAGTTTTGTACTTTGCTACAGCAAGTGCGGTTACAGAAGTGCAGTTGATCTAACGATGCTGTATGTGGTTATGCATTTGTTAACTGTTCACCTAGTAGTACTCTTGAACACCAGACTGTCAGTGGAAGCTCCAAGAAGAGAAACTGATTGTACGGTGTAAAAGAACCAAGTTGGGCTGCTGAATTAAAGAGTCTCGAAATCAGCGAAACTGGTGACTGGAGACCCCATCCAACGTGATGCACTCCTAAAGTTACACATGTTTCATTGGACAGTGACAATGTGTTTCTTCCGATCTTTTTATGATAGATTTACGTGCAGCCATTAAGTGCCATGCCATCGAGGTGACGTGGCAAACAGGTCCATTTCGCTTGGCTGACCAATTGAACAGAACTAAAGGACTCTGAAGGCACTGTAACAATGCACCAGTTCTTTTGACAACGATCTCAGATGGTTCATAATGAGAGAATGTATGACACACACCGTGATGGATAAGCAGTTGGATGGCGGAAAGAATGGGGTCGGGAGTCGTGCCAACGACACACATTCGCCGAAAATGAAATCAAATCGTATGGATGCACACATCAAATGATAAAGTTTTAGCATAACTTACACTGGCCTCCCGTCGGTTGAACATGTTTTCGCCCGTGAGGATCTCACCCCAGTTTCGCTCGATCTCAGTCACCATGTTTGGGTCCTCCAACTGTTTGACGGTTATCAAAGAGTCCACCTGGAAAACAGGGAGCCCAAAGAGATAATAAATGCAAGGAAACAGGTGGAGGAAATTAAAATGGGGAGAGCGTCTGAAATGATAGTGTGGCCGGATGGTTCATAGCACAATCGGAGGAGCTACGAGGCAACGTATGGGTCTTGTGGTGAGACGCATAATAGCACGAGGGTCGCTAAGAACAGCCAATGAGTTCAACCCGACAACTGCCCGAGAAGTGAAATCCAGAAAAAAACCCCACTGTTTCAATGGGAAAATGAGTTTAAGCAATAAACAGGTGATAAAAGTGTTACGTTACAACCATGAATGAAACGCATAAGTACATGTTGTAACCGACTGTGCACGACGCTTCGATGTGATTATCTGCACAAGTAAGGTAACGAGGCAGCAAGAAGTGCCAGAGAAAGCAGGAAAAACCTGCTAGCACGGAGCAATAAGTAGGGAGGAACAGGGGTTGCTCTGAGAAGATGAGTTTGCTCTTTCTTATGTTAAGGAACGTAGACAAATGGAGAACAAATTTAGAGAGGACACACAACATGCAAACACGAGGGGACAAACAATTCGCAATGTAGGTCATCAGGGATGTGATCATGAGGCCAGAGTTACAGAACATGAGCCCCATTCAAAGAAGAGTGTGGGAATAACTCACTGCGGTTTGGAAACCCTCGGGAGACAACGCAGCCAGAATGCGTGGGGCTATGCGGTACCAAAACGCAGACATCCGGCCAGACACGTGGTTGACTGAAAACTGATTGGCTTGACTACAAGCAACCAAAGAGATTCCGGCACGCTGAGATCCACCAGGTGAGGAGCGCCAGCATCGCAGATACACGTGATAGCCCAGAGTTTCTTTGGTGCGTAGGTAATCAAAAGCGGGCTCCGTGAGAAGATACTGTGTCGAAAAATAAATGACAATGATTAAAAAAGGTTGAGTTCAGTTAACCCCGTTAGCGGATGGCACAATGAAACACACGAAAATTACACAGGAGGACAAACTGTGTATTGCAAAGATTGCATCCAGAGAAAAATAATTCAACACTTACCGCGAGCAACTGATTGTAAGTGTTGCGTTTCAAGCCGGTGCGACCGAGGAGATGCACATGTGCTATGCACTGATTCAAGTCAGCCGGGTTGCAATTCATCACCCGCAAAAGATAAGTTCCTGGTGCGAGGGAGGCAATGGCAGACTGCGAAAGGGAAAGACAAAGATGAGGGTGTTCGTCGGTGAGACACAGTAAACATTTGAGGCTATGATATGCCGAGAGCAGTGAAGCAACTCGCCACAACGATGAGAAAACTAAGGCGAATCAAGGATGATACACGATCTGCCAATAAGCAATCGTGTGCTAGGGGGGAAGCGCTCCGAAAACTTTGAGACGCAGGGAATTTGATCCAAATTAAAGGGTACCACAGCGAGCGACAGTCGAGTGTACTCAGGTGCTGGTTAATAAATCACGATGTAGCTACAGTCGGAAAGGTTCACTGCTGCAGCGAAAGATAATGGGATGAAATCCGAAAAGTGATCAGAAGGCAGAAAAAAAGATTGGGTTACAAAGGTTTCTTTAGACTAGACTCAGCCAATGCGAAAGTGGAGCTCAATAACATTGTATCTCTAGCCCCAAAGACAACGTCCCCCAAAGTAGATATTAACATGATCAAACGAAATGTGATGGAACAGCGGGTGTTTCGATGCACATAATGTGTACCTGAACTACCAGTCTGCGAAGAGATGCAGGCGAGCGAAACGGCCAAAAGCGCGCGTCCTCCTCGGACAAAAAGCAACCAGCCGTGTGTGCAGAGCAGACTTGTCCACAAGGGTTAGGCCTCCGGAAGTGATTTTGTCATTAAAGAAACATACTGGCCAGGCTCGTTCGTTGCATCAAACAAGCTAGCTGAATTACAGGACTAGAGAACTCGACACAGTGTCCTCAGATGTGATCGTGCATCCACACAAACTAGTAACTGATCGGTCCCATGTTCCTGAAGGCACACCAAAAACGTATCAGATGTCAGAACGCTGATGTGCTTGGCATCAGAGTTCTGACTGACTGAACTCATAGTATTAGTGAGGAGAATTCGTCCAATTCTCGGTGTTCCAAATGTTACGAGGAGAAGGAAGCGCTCAACGGAAGGTAGAATGAAAGATAATGTATGTATGGAGGAGTATGAATCGCGTGAGCTTCGTCACTGGTAAGCAAATTTTTTGTCAAGAATGCTATTTCACTCGCGCTAACCTGTGGATCAGTAGTGCTAATCAGGAAAAATGGAAGGCGAAATCAACTGCGGGGATAAACCATTGAAAGGAGGTGCACGAGAGAGACGATCCAAGGGAAGCGCGCAAAATTTCAATGAACTGTTTAGGAGCACATGATATTGTGTTGGCGATACAAACCCCTACAGGCATGATCAGAGGGAGAAGCTAACGTCAACTGAAGTGCCAACTTATGTCAAGCATTAATTCATTTAAAACGCCTGCTTTGTTAACAGACTGTGACAGATGAAGCATCAATCTGGAGCGCGATTCAACTCGAGGTGGACCATTGTTAGTTCAATCACTGAACTCGTAAGTGGAACGGATAAATATCAGTTGTTACCCACTTGCCACACAGTACGCCACGACCGGTTTCTTGATTGCCTTCACTCTCCCGGCAATGATGGCAATTCTGTCACCCAGCATGAAGGAATGAAGCACGCACCAAATAGGTCGAGGAGTGCAGTGTTACAAACGATCAACAATTCAGACTTTTGTTTGTATTTGGATCGATGACATAAAGGGGCCCATCATGGAAATGGGAGAAGTAAACAACGGGCAGTGCTGCCCAAAGGACACTGATCACGATCAGGGCAAGATAAAAGACACCTTAAAGTTTGCGGTTAGACTACCATCCGTTAGAATGCATATATGGCAAGGCATCCCCAATTCCAAAATGATGAACGTCGAATTACGGATGGCTTAATCGTGTAAAAGGCAACTGCGCGGTAAAAGATCTGGTAGAAATGACACTAAACAGTGCTGCAGAAACCTGAAGCGCCCATGAGCGATAAGCCAGCCGCTTAAGTATACGGGTGGTGAGGGCATATTTGACAACGCTACTTGAATAAGTCTGCGGAGGTAAATGAATCTGCCCCATCTAGATCACACTGGTTAAACAAAGAGTAGACCACACCAGAACATCCAGTGGACCGCTGCTATACATGCCGAGTAAAGCGAAACTATTAGAAGTATACGAAGTGAGATGTCCGAAAGATAGAAACGTCATTCAACAGCTCAAGCGCTATGACTCCAGCGAGTATAAACGGTCTGCGAGTGATGTTCACTGTAACCAAGCTGGCCAAAAGTGATGTGTGCCCAAAAAAAGAATTTGGTCAATACAGCTGTGGAAAGACGTTCGTGTGCATTGACAGTAACTGTGAAATAAAGACGGGGTACACGTGGGATAAGCAACCGATAGACCGACAACTTACAAATTCACGGCGAGGAAGCGGGATGCAATCGATCTTTTGAGTAGTATACTCGAAGAGGCCAATGGCATCCTACAGAGAGAAAATACGGGATAGAAAATTGCAAATGAAGCGACTGCGGTTGGGCACTTCGTATGGTTGAAGTCACACATGTGCGGAAAGAATGAAAAGCGATATTTGACATGAAAAAATTCGAATGAAGTTGGTTGTCATCAAAGATCACATGTTACGATTTGACGGCTAGTTTGTTTTCTGGTTAGGGGTAAAATAAGAGCCAGTAGAAGACGGAGAGACAGGCAATTCACGGGGACTACAAAAAGAGCGGAAGTGTTCTAAGTAATAGCAGCCTCTATGAAACATATTTCGAGTAAGGAAATCGAGGTATCAGGCAGCAGCTGCAGGGCACCACCAATACCCACTGATGGAGAAAAATGGTGCCCGTATTTTGTTACAGTGAGCAGTAGTCAAAGTCGAGGTAGATGAAAAACCCTCTCAATGTAATTAGAAATAGAATAGAGAGGAGGATAGAAACAGTGCGCAACGGTGTTTACCAGCTGAAAATATATGGAGAGGAGAAATAATTGGTACAGTTTTGAAAGTATAGGAGCAACTCCAGGTTGGCGATTTGCTATGCGGACAAGTGGATCCTTCAGTAAGCAAAGGATGGTAAAAATAACATACAAGAGTCTCGATGCTGTGCAGTTGAATCAGGTACCTGATCGTCATGGTACAGTCGAATTGTTCCAACGCACTTGCAATAACGTTGCTCGTTAATAATATGGAATTGGCTCATGTAGGAAGCAAGAGTGGCGTTCACAACCATTGCAGCATGTCGTTTTCCTGTATTGCACAGTAAAAACCTTCATGCGACAACCCAATGCATTATACGCAAGGTAAAAGGCGGAAGGCAATAGACACGATCGTGAGACGACGGAACAAAGCCAGGTAATGGTTAGCCAGCATCCCAAACGAAAAGCTGGAAGAGATCGATACACCTTGGAGACATATGCATGCGCCGGATGGAGGATCAAGAGTAACTTCCCGCTCGGCTGATGCATAGCGTTCCAGCAGACAAGGTATGTGCTTAGATGTCGGTCCAACCGGTGTCCTAATGAAGATTAATTTGTTCGATTTTCAGCCGCGCTGGCGACAGGTGAACAAACGCTATTCTATTGTCCCGAAGGTAACTCGCAGTAAAATTATACTGTTTATATCAAACAATACCATACAGTGTGATCTTGAGCGGACAAATGTTAACAGTGGATGTAACGATCATTTCAACTAAATCGGTGGCGCGTCTCATAGTGGATAATGCTAGAATGCACAGTAACACACCTCCATGGGTCAGGGATCACCCGCCCGTCATACACTGCGCAACAGAGTGCGGAAAAAATTGGTGATGAAAGCGCTTAATGAAGACAAGTTAACATCTAACCGTGGGAATTGAGACAAGGACTAAAAGAGTAGCATACGTGTTGCGAAAATGTAAAGAAACCAGCAATTAGGTATGTAAATGACACAACATAATGGAAAAGCTTAGAAACAGGAGAGTAGGATATGGACGGAAAAGTGCGACAATTTGAAGTGTAGGGAGACTAATAAGGGATAGTTGAAAGCAAATCGTCAGATAGGTGTGAACTATTCTACGTAACCGTGCTAGTGAAGGTACCATGATGATAACGGTTTCGGTGGAAATGGATAACGTGATGCTAACGGTATGGAAAACGGGGTGGGAGGCTATCCAAGATAGTCCGATCCGTTAGTAGTGAGTATGGTTCGACGACAAAACGTGACGGATGACATTTAAAACAGGGCCGACAGCAAGCTCAAGGATGAAAAAAATTTGCAAAAAAACTACCACCACTAACATCTCGTACAAAAGAATACCGAAAAATTTAACATTTCAGAGTAAGAAAAAGAAAGATGCCAAGGTGTCTAAAAAATTCAGGGGATGTCAGAAAAAGGACTATGGACAGGCGTAAAGGAGCGTCCTGACGACACTGTATGCTATCGGCCAAACAGTGGAGCAAGACTTCACGCCGGGTTACAAACGGAGTGGATGATAGCTGGTTACCTAAATTGGCAATCAAAGTCAACCTGTAATTGATTACGCTTCGTATGAAACGCAATTAAGCACAGTAGTGGTAAAATGGGCACGGCGATATTCAAACAAACGAGTATTATGACTTGACGTTTACCGGACTCTTTAAGGCTACAAGGTCGATAAACGGTAGGACAGTTGTTCACAGTAGTATGTAGTTCAAAAAACAAAACAGTTGAGCATATTGTATGGCTGTCTATTCAAATGTAGGAACCGAAGGTGTTGGAACAAACCTCAGCGGTTAAATTGCCGTGCACGTAGGCTGTTATTCTAGTTTGAGAGAAAAACTTCCGTTTGTAGGAGATTAGATCATCCATTGAAACATCTTGAAGAGCAAGTAACAGTTCATCGTACAAATAAGTGTTCTTCTGGAGAAGGAAAACTTGCAAATTCCTAGATAAAGAAAAAACAGCAGGCAGGATTGTATTTGCAAGATGGTCAAGGGGCACTTTTTAATGAGAAGAAACTAAGTTAAAATATCACCCGTAGGTGGACGTGGGGATTCGTAGGTAATATGCACAATGGCATGGAGTGCTAGACATTTGTAAGGTTCAAAATATATATCACTGCCCAACAAGGGACAGGGATCAACGGAGAAAAATACAGTCGCACAAGAGAACAAGGCAAAATAGAAAAGAATAGTAAAACAAAAGTGCGTTGAATAAAAAGAGCGAGTTAATGAGATGAAGAAAGAAGGCAGCAGACCCAAAGTTAAGTATCTTTCGCTTTGCGAGAACTTGAAAAAAGCGAAAAAATTCAATTGAATGTTTGAGGATGCTGTATACTTATGGTTAAGGCAAAAGCACCATTATCTGACAAAATGAAGAAAACACAGTTGTCGTTATTTGTTAAAGTACAAAGTAGAGGATTCAGACAGAAAAATAGGAAGAAAACTGTATAAAAAGATCCCCAATCTCTTGTGGTTACTGCGTGAAAAGTTCACGAAGACGGCGTTTTACCATGTCAGACTACTTGATCGAGTTTGGAAAATAGTTTCTTTCGTAGAATCGGAATTTTATGGAGCTAAACATGCATTGATTCACAAGTACGGTACTGCACTCGAGGTAATAGATGTGATTACATAAATAAATATCAAGCGGAAGAGAAGAAATCAAACTGACGTGTTCAAGGATCGAGGCTTCAGTGCCTCATTGAAGAAAAGCTGTCTGACCGCCTCCTTGTAGGATTCAAAATGAACAGCAGACGACTCTGGAGCATCCGAAATGATATGGTCCAAAATTGTGGTGTAAAAGTACTGCGAAAGAATAAAGTATACTATTTCGTGACAGCTGCTGAGAAATGTGGGAATTGGAGGCAAATATTGAAAAGGCCGAATGACGTGCGAATCCTGTGATTAACGGTACAGACGGAACACAGAACGGATAGCGTGAAGTAAAGTTTAGAAAACAAAATAAAGGGTGAAGTTTCAATGACTATGTACGGGCAATACGGAACCGATGCCAAGCATGTATGTGGAGGAAAAATCAGAGTTGTCGTTGCAAACACTATGCCCTGGAAGCGAAGGAGCGCAGGAATTATTTGATGCGATTTAACTAAAGTCAGTTACCGACTATAGATAAAATACTCAAGTATGATGGAGTATGTTGCGTTGAGTATTGACCAGGAAAATAAAAGAGCAATTAAGTTTTGAACAAAAATATCATACAAAGATGGGTAAAACCAATAGAACTGAGGTCGATACGACGCGAAAGTAATAAGGTTGCGGAGTGATACCGAGCAGGACGTTCAGTCACAGAAGTGGTTCATACTGCAGCTCGCAGCCAAGAGAAAAATCAGCACTGAAAAGTGTCAGCGACGCAATCAGTCATCCACACAATCCTACTGCATCACTGCTTGGCCGACCAACAGAACGCCCGGCAAACGAAACATGCCACATATGTTCTATCTACCTGTCACGTATGAAGCCGTTTGAACGCGCAGAAAATAGCATTCACCTTCAGCATGGGAGAACGACGGGCACCACAGATGCACGGAAGCAAAGCGACAACGTAACCTGCTCTGACTCCCGATTTCCGGAATTATTCAGCCACAGATTGTCTCTGAATTTGAATTTTTTGATAACAACCAAAAGAAATCATTACACGGACCTGCAGTCGCATTTCACATTTGGATTTTCAAACATGAAACTCGAGCGTAGTCGTGCAGAAAATCGGCCATAACACTCGTGACTAGAGCAGGCTTGTGTCGTGCCCAAATTACGTATAAAAGAAGGAAGGGATTAACGAATTCCTGGCAAAAAGGAGCCATTCTACGATGGCGGTGATAATAATCACCGAGAAATTGGCGAAACAGATGTGGTAATGGTGCTACACTCAGAGCCAGCGCACGCACAGAAAACTGTTGACTCGAGACCCCGAGGAATGGTCGCGTAGTATCATTCACCTATGGCGCTCACAGCAGACAGACTGTGACTGAAGTCACAGCTTACAACCAATGTACAATGTCCGTTTAACAATGCGGTACCCGAGGCCGTTAAACAGGGCGTAAACAGACAATCGCATCGCCGAGCAGCATGAAAAGAATCTGCAGTGGAGATGCTCGCTGGAAATTGGGTCCAAGATATTACAGCGCACGAATCAAAGTCAGTTGATGAAACAGAACGGAACATGATCGTCTTCAATGATAAGAAAGGCAACGGAGATTAAGCAGATCGTGCCTATCCATGGAGACACCATCGATTGGATAAATACCTCAGAGATTGTGATTTTTCGATAACGCGCGAAGGTCTGCTCAAAGTTAGTACGAAGGTGAGATGCACTAGGATTCAGTTCAGTATAACAATTACGATCCGATCATCAAAATACAGCGGATCCAGTTACCGTGATTTACATCGTAAAAACAGAAATAGACGACAACGGTAAGATAGTGGGGTCGAATGCCAAGAGAATGAAAAAATAGAAGCAAGAAGGAGGTGGGTTAGACTAATGGAAATAAGGCGAAAATTAACAAACAAATGCAAAAAGTGAATACAGGAACGGCACTGAATGGGTGGCGGCGCCAGTGGTCCCCAACCATTGGTGTGGACCGTGTCAAGATCATCACCCACGAAGGTGGCACGCATCAGCCTGACCAAGTCGATTTCTTCAGGCCTCTGTGCCACGTCATGGACTGACCACCTCGCGGTTGCGCCCAACTTGGTGTAGCTACGGCGTATAACGCACGTCGAGGAAGACGGTCAATGGAGGAAATGGCCTAACTAACGCAAGCGACTAAGAATTAGCAAACCTTCGAGAGGAATCCGAAGGCTTCTTGCCAAAAATCAAATGGCGGACATCAGCATTGCCTACCCGGTGTTCCCACCAGACATAAGCAATACTCCGCAAGTACCGGTGGTCAAATGAGGTCAATTGTGTAATCTCTTTGCTGCAAACTGTCTTAGTCTCTGATCCATCCAGTAACACCGACCATATCGCAGCGTTATACACCTTACCTTTCACTGAAATGCTGACATCCCGCCGTCTCACCAGATGATTGGGTCTCTGGAAAGCCACACGGGCCTTGCTGATACGTGAAGCAACCTCTTCAGTGACGTGACCACAAGAGGTGACAGAGCTACCAAGGTTAGTGAACCGATTCACCAGTTTCAGTGGCTGTTCGGTGATAGCTAGAACCGGAGGTGAGTCGGTCCAGTACTGCAGCAGTACTTTACACTTTGAAGGTTCAAAGCACATGCCGAAGTGTGCAGCGCTAGGTGCAAGTCCAATCCAGTAGTGTTTGCATAGCCACTGCGTCAGACACAAGGAGAGCAATGTCGACCGCATAACTCAGGTTTATCAGTCGGTCACCTAGCAAAACTTCTACTCCGGTAATCTGAGAGAACCGAGTCTTTCAATAACACTTCGATCAGGAAGTTGAAAAGGAAAGGAGATATAGGACAACTCTGGCGAACCCCAGTTGTCGTGGGGAACGCAGGAGACAGTTTTCCGTAACCCTTACACGGCTTCAGACGTCACGGTAGAGAGACTGTATAATGGGGAGGAATTTAACCGGAACGTCCTTCACGGATAGGGAGTGTCACAAGGTGGTGCGATCAAAAGAGTCTAAGGCGGCTTTTGCGTAAAGGATAGTCCCCAATCGGTCGTCTGTATGTGTGTCTGTGGTCTTACACTTGACAAAGAGTAAGTAGGTGGTCGATACAACCAAGACCAATGATTCGGTTCTCACGGACACTAGTAAGTCATCGGAGAATGATACCCGTGAGAAGACTGGAAACAACGGAAATAAGGCTAATGCCTCGATGGTTTTCGCACAAAGTACGTTGACTCTTCTTAAAGATGGACACGACAGTTGACAGTCGCCAGTCTGAAGGAATCTCTTCAGTTCCAAATCGTGTTAAATAGAGTAGCGAGTCCAGTCAACAAAGAGTCACCACTATCTTTCAGCAAAGATAGAGGAAGGTCGTCAGGTTCAGGAGCCTTGTTTCGTTTTAACACGGAAGGCTCATGTCGAGTCTCTTCCAAAGTGCGTAGTGTGACATCTACTTCCCACGTCGGCTCGTGCGATTCGGCAAGCGACAGTGTCGCAGGAAATCTGCTGAACAGTTCTTCAGAATGTTCCGCACAACGGGCTAGTCGACGAGGCTGAGAATGGACTAACTGTCTATCTTTCACGGCTATTGCCTCGTTAACTGATGGCTTTCTAGAATCCGTTTTACGGATGAGTTGGAATAGAAGCCGGCTGTTCCCAATAGCAGTGCCTTTCTCTATTTCACGGGTCCGTGCCATCCACCAACTTTCACGGTCAATTCCAAGACTCCTTGTCAGACGTCGTCACAGAGAGTTACGGACACTGAAACTCAGTGCCCATCGGAACCTGATTACATACTTCGATCAAACTGATTGATGTCTCAGAGATCTATTTGCAGTTAGGAAGTCTCAAGTTGGGTGCACAAGAAGTATCAAAGGCATTCTTCATGGCACACTTGAGACTATTCGAATCAGCGTCCGGCGCACCAACCTCATTCACCACTGACAATTGGTGCGCCAGTTCGTCCTGATACTGTTGAATTTCAGACTGCGAGTTCAAGTTACAAGAAATGTTAGAAAATAGGCGCTTCTTTGAAGTGGGAAGAGTGAGCGCCAAGCGTGCGCGCACTAAAGCATGGTCGAAATCTAGGCACACGTTCCAAATTGACCGACAGTCTTGGACTGATGTGCGCCACCTGTAACTGGTGGCAATATGGTCAATTTGGGTCCAGGTCACTAAGGAATTCGGTGGGCGCCAGGTGATGCAGTGTGAATGTTTGTGCCGGAAAGCAGTGCCCTTAAGGTCAAGGTTGTGGTCGGCTCACAGTTGCAAGAATCACCATCATCCTCTGTTCGGCTTGCATCAACTACGAAGCGGCTTCCAAGGTATTGTTCAGAGTCTGAAAGACGGTCCACTTTGGCGTTCAGGTCACCACGATGTCATTATACTTCGCCGTACGGTCGATAGAAATCGACTTTGATACGCTCTGAAGTGCATGCAGTAGGGCCATGAACTGAGGCGATGAAAAGTCATCTTGTCTTCAGACGGTGCTTAGTAACTTCAGTAGAGGTTCGAAGTTGAACCGCACACATGTGGCTGTTCACCGGCATCCAGCCGAGTAGACTGCCTTCAGCATGTTTGCTGAGGGTAATACCAACATCGTAAATACTTTGAGCCATTGACTAAGTATCGCCAGAAACGCGAGGTGCGTAACCATCGTCGTCAGATTCAGAAACAGGGAGTCGAAGATACGTCACAACCCTGTTATCTTGTATGCGTGTTTCGGAGACGACACGCATCAGTATCAAGCGAGTGAGAGTTAGTGCCGGCTTCTGGCTGATCTGATCTAGGTTGCGGAGGTTAAAAGAACCAATGTGATATGAAACTATCGGTTTGATGGAAGAGCTACATGTATTGATAGCAGCAGCAGTCACTTGCTCAATAGACAGGGGAGAAGAGAGTTGAGAGAAAAATAAGAAGAGGAAGAATTGCCAACATCGTCGAGAGGGCAGGTGATACTCTTCGGCTGCCCATTCCGAGAGATGGATTCTGTTCGACGGATCCTACCTCTAGGAAAACGGCTCAACAATTTGAGCCAAAAGGCAGTGGGGTAAGTGGAATTTCGCTTGAAGGACTCCACTCGCAGCCTTTGGCTCAATAGCCTGATTCACAAGGTAGTGAGGAGCGAGTCCAGCTTGGGAGTGTGAGTGCAGAGACCGATTGGGATCTGCCACACATAGCCTCTGAAGGATTAGCATGGTACACATGTTTTATGACCGAATAACGTTACGCATCTGCGACCACGACCAGCCGCAGGTGGGAGTTGGCGGGTCTGCACCAATTTGATCAGGGGCTGCTTGGTTTGATGCGGGCGGTAGCAAACCACTGAATACCGGTAGATTCCACCCAATTGTCAGAGAGAATGCGTGGCACTCGTGCTCTACGCCAGTCGAACAGTGACCTTATAATCCGTAGATCTGTTGTCTCGTATGATTAGGTTTTAAAAGAAGAGAGCTGTCGACCTCTCTTCAACTTCCGAAAAGGATTGGATTGTGAAAATGAGTTACTTTGACCCCTAATCATTGACCTGTCTGGTATGAGTGGCTCTGAAGGCACTTGGAAAGTACCACCCAGCAGCCCAAAGGGTCACGGAGGCACGCAAACAATCGCACTACATTAAGGTCCAGTGTAGTTGCGATGGACACCAGGGCTACTCCATAGCATCTGTCCACCTCAGTGTTACGTACCAGATAAGCACGACTGATCGGGTATAAGTGTCTCAAGTCAGAGTGAAATTCCTCCCAGGTGACCAACCGGTTAGTCAGAGTGCACGGATGATGTCGATCTTCTATGACTGCATTAGGTCTTATACCAAGCTGAGGTAAAGTGGTGAATCAGTTAGCAGCTGATCAGCCTCTTCGAGGTGTAATATGACGCCGCTAGTGTATGGTAGAACAACCAAGCGAAGTGGTCCATCGGTTGATTTGATCATGTGGATTTACCAAGGAATGGAGCAGAAGTCACAGGAGATCTTGGTACTTGCATAGGCAGGTCTCAGAAAGTGTTTCAAAGCCTTACCAACACGTAGAGGCAGTAAGATATCAGTGTTTTGGTCGAAAAATGAGACTAGGCCAAGAGAACGGGGAAAAAGAGACTGAAGACAGCAAATGACCAGTTGGCACTGATCGCGGGTGGAGACGGAATACTACGCGTTTGCGATTAGACTCAGTAGTCCAGTAGCACACGCGTTATAATGCTCCCTATAACCGGTGCAGTGGTCAGCAGATCTGTCTGACCGCGGAGGGCAGTGCGGCGCTGCAATAGAAGTGAGCACAAAGACAATGCGGTACAAGGTCTGAATTAGTCGGCTGATCACCTCGAAGGAGGACGTGGGACATCTGGAGTAGGAAGTATAACAAGTTAAACGGTGTATGTTTTCGGTGACCACAAACAAATTCAACATGACAACTGGATTTATGAATCGGAAGCGGCCATGAAAGGGCATACATGAAAGACAAGTTTGTTAGAAAAAGATAGAGGCAGACAAACACGTCGTATATGAAGCACAGATTGTCCGGTCGACAAGCTCTTTTGATGAGATGCAAAGAATCGCAAATTGAGGAAGTGATCCCCTAGTTCGGTTGTATGTATGTGTATCACGCATAAGCAACTGTTGTATCAAAAGTATCCTTGGAAGAGGAATCGCCGGGAAAAACAAGGTGACTATAGAGTTGTGCTAACAGCCTAGATGAAACGGTGGGAAACGGATCACCGACATTCCACAGCTTGAGATCGCACTAGTAGAGATTTGGCTAAAAATGATGCGATTAGAAGCCGTAGGTCAAAAGCAAGCGACCAAAAGCAAAAGCACAAAGAAGACAACATAGCAAAGTAGCGGGAGCATTTAGAATTTGTCTGAATGGGATGCTGAAAACCGCATAACTAACACGTTCAAGTGCAAAAATAACGAAACAACCGTTCGAAAATAAAAACGAGCTCACAATTAACTTCTCATTGAAACCATGCAAACATAGTTTCGTTCCACTCTCGGCGTACTCAAGGGTATAGCTGAAAAACACAAGTAGAACGTTGTCGGGAAAAAGTAGAAAGAAGGCAAAACGTGGAATAGCAAAAGACACAGGTACAAAGAGGTATAAAAAGCTCACTTCAAGTTAGCCTCTTCGCCTTCGTAGGCTAAGGTACTCAAAGTTTGGTTCAGAGTATAGTTGAGGATTAGATGGAGCGCCACACTATGAGTAAAGGAAAAAAACAGAAGTGCAAAGTAAGAGGGCTCCATGCGGCGTTGCACACGAGCGGTGAAAAGTGTGAGAGCTCTGAACAAAGAACGTGATTTGCAGCAATCATGAAAGACGGAAAGTACACTGTTTAAAAGTACATGCTGGTGGAGCTTCAATGGAGTCAGATGGACCGTACAGTGAGTGTGCAAAACAATCGGTTTTTCGCAAAGCATGTGAGTCGAGGCTGAGCACATGATAAAAATGATTTAACGCTTTGAGTCCTGAATTAATTTACCAATAACTCGACATGAGCCACAAAATTTTACTCCACACACCGTAGAGCAAAGTAGCGGAGTTCTGGCTCTTAGTTTATTGTTAACAGAAGGCTATTGTATGTATCCTCACGAGTACCGCCAGGAATCACGCTTGCACTGAAGCAGTATTACAATTTAAACAAAGTGGTACCTATAAGTGCCGTCAGGACACAAAGGATTAAATCAATGTCGCATTACACTAGAACGAGCCTCGCAAAGTTTTCGTAGAGGTGATACAGGAGAAAACAAATGCGGTATTTGCGCGGTAGGCAAAAGATAACTACCCGGATACCGAAAAATATGGGGTAATAGGGTGCACTTGGTGATTGCATGGCCAGGCCATAAATGATGAACTGCAATTAAACTGTTAGTGGATTCTAAAACGAATTGGCAATAGCGGGGATGGGATGTGAATAACGGGTGGTGTATCGGTTTTGATACTGCGACCAAAACATTCAAGATATCTCCAAAGCACTACACCTGGTCACGTTTGGAATTTCGAGTGTATGTAGAAACAATCAGCCGTGAGGAATGTGAGCGTTTAGGAAATAAAACCGCGATTAGGCAAGTATGGATGAAGCATGAGAAAGCCATTGTCCGATGGAAGCTACATGCTGATGAGCAGAGGTACGCAAACTTTCCGCGTAAAAGGTCAGCAAGTTACCGGAAATGAAAAGCACACCGCATTGCAGCATCTTGTCGATCTGCACTTCACTTAGCAGTGAGTTCGTTATCGAGATCAAGAAGCTCTCAGCGTGGAACCAAAACGGAAGCGAGAATCTAAGTCGCGACTGGGGTGAGCGAAAAATCACCGTCGTGAATATCGTGATTACAGCCGAAACGTCCGCAAGCATGAATGCAAAATGGTGGTGTCTCACTGGTCAGACTAGAATAAGTTCGACTGGTAGAGAGAAGCACGAGACAACCGGTGCATAACTATACGCGGTTTCTACACCGACCGGGAAAAAAGGGAAGAAGACCACTTCAGATAGTGAGATAGTTCCGATCCAACTGATTCTAGTGTTCGAATTTGTTTGTCGCCTCATAGGAAACAGGGCAAGTAGATGAGAGCGGCAGACTCAATCCGTTCAAACACTGCGATAGTACAAGCTAAAGGTACCTGCTTATCAGAGAGTGGGACCAAGCAGGAAGATCAAGTGAAGTAAATAGACGTCATCAGTAACAACCATCAACAACAACATCAGTACACCAGCCATGTAAACTGATGCTTCGCTGCCATACAACCATGAGGACCTATGAAATAAAGAATAAGAAGAGGGAGAGAAGGGGGACTTACCTGAAAACCTTAATGCCCTAAGCAAACATTCAGGGTCAAGGCGCTTACATCTTGTGTTAACAATATACCGTCACAAACAGCTGACTATCGTGCAAAGATAAGGCGGCATCGGCGAGACAGCTTCCTTGCGGCTTTCACTGCCACGCGTCATAATCAGCTATTACCCCGCAGATAACTCAGCACCAAACACACTTTAAACAGATAATCCGATTAGGAGACGGCAGCGGACGCGCAACTGGTGTCGGTTGCGAGCCATGTCCTATAAAGTCTCGAGCCAAGCACAAGGCGAGTCACGTGGACTCCAGCCCGGCAGACGAGATGGACCAACAGCACCCAAGTTTGGCCGTGAATGACCTAATTTCACGCTACCAAATCAGCGTTTGTCTACATCGAGCATTGCGCCACCCTACATCTGGCAGACAAAACATGGCCCTCCTAGACAAGTGGTGACCAGGCATACATAGCACGTGCCCGAGCCAACGAAACTTATTTAGTGCTATCTGTTCTCCTAGGGAGCTAGCATATTTATCACACCTATTACTCGCCTACGCACATCATCATCGACTTGAAGAAAATCGCTTGTTCTAATACTGCACAATTAGGTAGTTCGGAGCGACGATCTTTATGCGCATTGCGATCACATGATCCAGTGCCTTTCGAACTTTTTTGAATAAGTACTACTTCGCAAGGACCAGTAAACGGAAGTACTACCGTCGTATTCATTTGGAGAAAATGTATCTATAATCGTAATAAGCAAGGAAAAGGTGAAATGAAAGTAAAACGGCGACACAACGGTAGAGCGAAACAGTAAGAACGAAAGCTGAAACTCAATATTTCTGTTATTATGTTTTCATCTGGGACAGACGGGCATGGACCAAAAACAACAAACAGGTAAACAGCACGTACCTTTGTCAGTTGCTTTCTCTCGAATTGCTGAGAAGAAAGGTCGGCAAGAACTAAGCAAGTATTTACGCCGGATTTTAAAGAGGAGGATCGGGAAAAGGATTGTCAAACGCCCGTAGGTCCTGAACACCGGGTGGGGAAATAGCAAGGAAAAGACGCCATTCAAGCATATGTAGGACGGTTGTTTTGGGTGGCTGATGGGTAGTGTGGGGGTAGGCGGAAATTGGAAAGGAGGAGATTTGCAGAGGGCCATCGGAAACTAAGCAAAGATGAAGCGTGAAAAAACTCCTTAACTAATAAAAGCCTCTTTGGAGTGTTTCATACATTCGCACCAATGTTATATATCATTAATATATACATAATATATCAATTTCGATTTGTGTAAAATAGCGAACTACATGGGTACCACTTTGCATGGTTTGTAGTACCACCAGGAGTACGCGTACCACAGTTTGATAATCACTGACATAGTCTAATAAATCTTGCCACTTAATCTCTCAAATAAGCCGTTTGTCCCTGGACCACCAACTTTCTCGATTATATATCAGATAATGTGTATATGACTGTACTGGACGCTAATCGTCACTGTTCTGATCTTGGATATCTGTTTAACGGTCTACCTCATTGAACTTTAGGGAAATTAACCTAGCGAGCATTTACACTGCGAAAGCAAGTGGTTATTTTTGTGCACAACTGATGTCATGCTGTTTGGCGACATGTTGACAGGCAATCTGAGACGACGCATGCTTTGTGTTAGTGACAATACGTCGTAACAAAATGGTGACTCTGAGCAAGTTATCAAAAAATCCGGAGAATTCTGTGAGTGCCAGACTGACGACACATGCCAACTTTATCTGTACTCACCCCTAAGATATTACCAAACGCATCTTTCGACTCTTAAGCCGCTGAGTTTAGATTTGTGGCCGCTGTTATAATTTCGCTCTCTGCATGACAGACAGTACCATACGGGACAGTGTCCCACTTGGAGTCAGCGACGAACACACAACCATGTTGTCCTTTACAACAGTGCGAGTTCATTCGGCAACTCATGCAGTTTCCTTCACAATATCATACTCGAATAGCAAAACCGTAAAGCCCTTCATTCGAATGCAACTACCTTTCAAACTCCGCACATAGCGGCACTCGGAGAACCGTGAAAAGTATCTTGCGTGAGGCCGTAATTGTTCCAAGTGTAGAGGAGGATTTGCCTCTCTTATCTCAAGTCAGTCAAAATAAACACGCTTATCTTTTAAAAATCACGGTTAAATTCATATCATTCAATCAGTGGAAAAATATCAATGAAATAATATACATCATTTGGGTAGATCGATATGGTTCCAGTTGCACATTATCATCATCATCATCGGCATGGTACCCACGACCGTCGCGGGTCACCTATTCTATCAGATTGGGTTGTCTCCGCAGGTGGAATTGCTCCAGACTTTTCCGCAATGGAGTAATGGTTTATAACGAGTATACAAGCACATGCTTGCTAAGTCCCGTAGCATGGTTAGGATGAAAATTACGAAGTGAATATCGATGTCGGTGAAGTAGTGCGCGAGAAACATGACTCGCCAAGATGTTTGGGATAGCATGTGTGTTGCTATACTTGCCTTGAGTTTAGGCGAATTATGACGCAGTTCCCTGTTTTTTCTGCACTGATGACATCCTCCAATGGTCATGGGCTATATCACAATGTAATGTGTCAAGGTGTCGTTGAGGCGTTTTTGAATAATGATAAGATGACAGCATTAATTGCATGCACTTGGAGCGAGTTACCAAACTGTGACACTCGGAGGGATAAAACCTCCATCGACATTCAAGACGGCTCTACTGCGTAGCCAACTTAAACTGATAGCCCATCAGAGATGTGCTTTGGCTGAGTTTCGATAGGTGATGGGGTTGGGGTACTTTTGGATCTGATAAACCATTATGAGGCCTCTCCGCAGACGCTGATAACGTCTGCAATACGCTTTTAGTTTTCAGCCTGGCGGGTAGGGGAAGCTGGACAAACTTTTGACGTTCCTCGTCGCAGTACATTTTGCATTCTAGAGCGCAGTAAGGTAAGCGCTTCTGCTAGTGTTGACACATTTGCGTGGCGTATTCCGAACGCGGCATCACGTACGTGCCAAGCATTTTCGGAAAAGTCAGAAGACGTAAACTGTGAGATGACCCAGTCATTTCGTGCAAGCTCGTCAGTCGCAAATCACGCAAAAATCATAGATATACAGAACGCGACCCCATGAGATCAATAGCTAACCAATCGTCGCCTCGCGCTACCGTGGAAAGTTAAGTTTCACAGGCGGCTGTTTCTGCACACAAAGCAATGGCCCTTTTCGATCGACGACAACGGCTTCCAATATGGCTATAGAGTTGAAGACTGGTAGCTCAGGTTGTGCGAATGGCGATTGAGCCGTTCGCTTAGCTTGGTATCTTGGTGCAAACGTTTCGCCACCAATCGAATTGACATCATTGCGTTGTTGCGTGGCATGCAGTAG